AAACAAAAGATATAGCCTAGTGAGCGTTGGGAATATCGGCGTGGGCTTGAGTTAGTGTAGCGACCTACATAACAAACCAAGGTCATGTCTAGTGAAAAGACACCCTAAGTAATTTAGAAAATGTAACTCCACACATAATAATTGTTTAAAGTTGAGGGGTACGCTCGGTAATTGAGTTCAAGCAATGACTCGATTCACAAATGATTTTTTTGTGAATAAGAGATATGACATCAATTGAAATCATTGTAATATTCCTTTTCTGTAAACAAATCTCCATTATTATACATTCTGACTACTTAGACTTACATATTTGAGATGTGTTTTGACATTTCTCACTGTCTATGTGCCAATTTTTCCCCAGAGGTTTAAACTGATAGTTTTTCAACAAAACAAAACAAAAACAAATAAAAAACTCACATATCCCGAATTATTGGCTAGTGTTTGAAAACGTGAAAACAAAATTAAAAATGAATCGATTACCTTTTAAAAGTGGAATTCGCTTGATCCAATTCTATAGATCGCTTGGACATCCTTGTGAAAGTTAGGTGGCGCAGAGCGTAAATGCCCTCCTGTTTTGTATAACATGCAAGTCATACCAACTCTGGCAACTCTGACATTCATATTTCAACATCATAGTCAGCTGTGATATTTACGGTGTCTTTGATGTCTCTTTTGGCTTGATACATTTGTATCAGGACACCAGTTGTACGCATTCATCGTTCAACACAAGGCCAAATTAGGTTACTAGCCCTTACCAGTAGTGATTGTCTACCTACGTCATCACCAAGATTAATGTCTCAAGGAATGTTGTATCTGTGGGAAAATAAAAAGATGATTCATACACTCTGTTTTACACAACATCTAAAAATATAATGCATCGTCCAATCAGCGAGCGAGCATTAGAATTTGAAACACGTGTAGTTAGTGGTTATCATCATTTCTTCAGATAGTAGCCTTGGTTCAAGATGAATCCGCTAAACACGTATTTACACGAATTCACTGGCTCTTTAGCTCAAGACTTTGTGACTCCATCTCCAAGCTATGAACAGAGCAATATGTCGAGTCATCCTAAGAAACGCAGGGCCGTTAATTCGTTGGCTACAACAACTTCCGACGGGTCATCGCGTTCAACTGTTAATTCGCTGACTACTACAT